TGGGCTGACAAACCGAAACACCTACAATTACACATACAGTCAATTTAAAGTCTCCAATTAACCTAACCTCAATCTGCATGTCTTCGGAGTGTAGGAGGAAGCCAGAGTACTCGGAGAAAACCCACGCAGACACTGGGAGAACATGCAATCTCCACACAGAAAGACCCTCGCGGAAATGGGATTCAAACCAGGAACCTTGTGCTTTCCACCTCCTAAAGTTTTTTTTTTTATTTATTCCTGTTACAAATTTGATTAACACCAGAAAAATTAGCATTCAGGTGAACATCCAGGGCCATTTCATGTAGGATGACAGCTCTGAACCATGGGAACTGGTATTTAGTAAAACCTGCAGGTATCAGGTTCTTTTTAAGTTCTGCTCCTCATTCAGAGGAAGCAGCTGTCTGCCACTCAAACTTGCTTAGACAGTATTTCAAAAATAAAAATGCAGTCTGGAGTGGTTTCACATCAGTATGCACGTTGTATCACGCTCTGCTTCCTGTCTGTCACCTGACAGGCACATGATGAAATGGAAGCCTCCACCAGGAAATCCTTCCTATAAGCATCTCCTTGCATGTTGCGTTTGCCTGAGAAGGCTGCTATCAGCGACAGGGCTGGGTCTTTAAAAATGAGTCTCGGTGCATACTGTGCATAACAATCGGAGGAGGCCAGGCAGAGACACTGGTAAATGGGCTACAAGTCTAAATGACAGCAGTGTTTTTTTCTTTAAGGATGAGAGCTCCATGGGAGCCAGACCGACTGTGTTCTTTGCTGACAAAAACCTCGAGGCGAGTCCCTGTTTAGAGAGAGAGAGAGTCTCTGATGCCGTGCCATCCAATTTAGGAAAATATGTGACAAGAATTAGCCGTGAGTAGATGTAATGCAACTCACAAGTGACTAAGGCACCTGAACGCGGGCATTCCTGGCTTTATTCTAGTGTGTTGCACAACACTGCCAATGTAGGGGATAGTTTGTGGTGAGTGTTTGTGCATGTGTGTTTGCACGAGGTGACTGAGTAAAAACAGCCACATGATGTTTTGCTATTCGTTCCCCTGGCATCCTGACCGGTCACCCCCTGCCCTTTCGCAAAAAAGAGCTTGTCCGTTAGGAATGACGACAACTTCAGGAATGCCTCCACGCTCGCGGAGAGGTAAATAGAGAGAGGTGTGAGTGATATGCCGGGCATGAGCAGCGCCGTTAAAAAACGAGCAAAGACAAAGTGGGAAAGAGACAGAGGTTGAGTCAGACTGCAGCTGATCAGGCCAACAGAGGAAATGCCACAATAGTTCCCATTCAAAGCAGCGAGAAACAGCCACAGTTTCAGAGGCCAAATATTGTCAGAGAACATTAGCCAAGGGCTGAAGCGCTGCCAAGAGGCAGGCAGAGATCAAATCTGGCTTTGATGGCCAACAGTAACCCCCCGCTCCTACCACACGCCCTCTCTGATGTTATGCGTCTCGGGCACTGTACACACAGACATTTCTGTATAAATAAATCCATGTTTGTTAAGCTTTCTAGCTCAAACTGATTTAACACAGTATTGTCCAGGGGAGCGGCTGTTGCGTCTGATGTACAGTACTTTCTGTTGTTTCGTCTGCCCTTGTGTTATTGTGCTGAAATATTATTTACATCACAAGGCACATAAAGAAGAGAGAGAAAATAACTCTGCAGCTCTTCAAGCAGACCCAAGAGGACGTTATCCGAGACTCAAGATTAACTTTGATCCGGCAGAGTTGGTCTCGGGCTCAAGCTGCAGCTATAAAACAACAACAACACTACAAAATACACATTAGATAAAATAACAAGCAGGGATCTAAAGGTACCTTAACCGCATTACCCGGACAGAAAAGAGGACCATGAACTGCACATATTTTCATTTCCTAATGGAGGATGAGTCCTGAAAAGAAATGTCAGGCATCTGAGGCAGATATTATTGTGAAGGAAAGTGCAGCACGAAGAGAGAGAACAGGGGAAGACATGCAGCTACAGGTCCAGGTCAGAACCAAACCCTAGGCCGCTGCAGGAGGACTCACATCTACAAAAACAAAGATTCTTAAGGAAGACAAATATCTATCATCTGCAGTTCCAACATCCAAAATTTAGCATTTTAAATAAATGCCCTATGTGTCTCATCTCATCATGTGCAAATACAATCCATCAGTACATGGCAGCATGAGGTGCAGCTGCACTGCATTGTGTTTTTGGACGACACGCTCCCAATTTATCCACTGGCCTGGACCGGAAAGAAGACCTTGTGCAATTCTCTTCTCACTGCACAATGAAACAGACACACTCATAATAAGTCTCCACAATGTTGGAGTGAGAGACACAGGAAGAGGCTTGTTTGTTTACCTCTCGAACTCTCATGTCATCAGTCATTCGCTGCTGGAAACTGGAGACCGGGCGACTAAATGCAATCAGCCTTTCGACTCTTTGTGGAGCCCAGTGCATGAGCAGGACTTAACCTTTCGGTGTCGCCATATGTAATAGGACACACACGGACAGGTCTGCTCAGCTATCCTTATTTACATTCACGTCCATTCACTGAGGGGCAGCCCAACCAAAACCTCCTCCCTAACCTTAACCAGAACCAATTCATGCCCAACTTTAACCTTAACCTAACTACAGGTCACATCTTACCGCTAACTTTGACCAGAACCCTTCGATATCACATTCAGCCACATTCAGGCTGGGCTTTGGTCCCGTGACGAAACACACAACCACTCACAACCACACACACATAAAGCTGAGTGCATAATTCCAATTACTGTAAAATACACTTAAATTGATTAAAACTGATGTGAAACAACAACAACAATGTGTTAATTACCTATAATCTGTTCTTAAATATTGGTATTGCTAATTGAATTTTGTCATATAACGTGTATTGATCGTGAGCTGCGGTAATGACGGCAATTAGTCTTTTCGCATGAACACTGAAAGGAGGGGCCGCGCCTTCAGGCTGATGCATGACGCGCTGGGATCCAGAGCTGCGAGCGTCCTAACGTGTGTGTCCAGCAGCGTGAAGATCATAATCTGAGCATGAGACGGAGCAGTGGAACTGCCTCGTCATATTTCTACCGTATCTGAAGCTGAACACGGGGATGATTGCTATACTCTTACTGCTGCTGCTCCAGTTGTCTGGCAGGAAGACACGTCTGGCCCTGGCTGCGGCTTCTCCCCCTCCCCCAAACCCCCATCATCCCCCTGCCATTCGTTCCAGACGAGGATGCCTATATTTAGAGCGCTCCTTTCCGCTGTTATGGCTGTTGGATCATTAGCCTCATTTAACCCTTCTCTACCTCTGGCGAGCTGATTGGCTGAGGGCATGTCCCTCAGGAGTAGCCCACACTAACCCCCCATTCCCAAAACTCAAAATCCTGACTGCACCACTCTGCCTCCAGTCTTTAGGAGGAGGGGGGGGGGGGTATGTATATGTAGCCACAAACCAATGGGAGCAGATATCGGGAGAGCGAGGGTCACGTTTTTAGACGAAGGACACGACACAAGACGACGATAATGATGATGATCTGAACGTGCATCTCGAAGGATGAACCTCTCTCATCATCATGTGCAATAACTTTCATATCCATCATCCCACTTACATTCACTGTGCAATATTCAAATTGTTCATAATTTTGAGTCACTTTACTGCTGCTGCACCCTCGTCGAAAAATAGTTTTTAATATTTGTGTATTTCATTTGTGGATGACACTTTGTTGTGATTGCACAACGACAATAAAGGTCTTGAATCTTTCTTATTAACGACACACTGAGCTTTCTTCAAGTGAAAAAGTCTAAATACTGGATTGTCATTTCTGTCAATCACTATTAGACGACTTTATTTGCAGGTCAGACCCCAGAGCCTTGAAGCTTTAACCGCTGCCACGAAAATCAATGTTCAATATTTTTAAATGCTGCATTTTTTTGTTATTTTCATGTTTCTTGTATTTATTTTATCAGAAACATCCCAAATAGCCGATAGAAAAAATAGCCACAAAGACATTTCATCTTAGTGACGGTTTTATGAGTCACAACTCTCATCTGATTTGTGAACAGATGCACACTATCAAAAGAAGTGCATGGAATTTGTGAAGAAACCCAAAATGTAACGTGCCAGATGAGCCAAAGGATTCAGGCAGATCACAAATCTATGACGAGTTTGACAAATCACCTGAAAACTCTTAGTGTGACCTGCGTGTAAACAAAGTGTGATGTTAAATTCTGCAGGGAAATAAGTAATAATGAGAATAAAATGGAGTAAAAGAAGTGACTCACAAACACACATGATGCACTGACTCCTCCAGAACATACGCTCGCCCCCTGGGCCCACCACCTCCAGAACTAAGTGGGATAAGTTTGAGACATTCTTTTCTCCCCAAATTAAAGGTTTCATCACCAGAAGTGAAACCGTGAAGCTGAGCCATCACACATCTGTTGACGGGGTATTTACTTCTTCCTATTTACATCTTGGCATCTACATCATCCTCCCGTCTTCATAGCTGAGCGCTGATAAACAACGTCGGCCTGCCAACTTTCTCCCGGTTTGTTGATTACTGTTGGGTCTGCCTTGATTTAGGGCGAGTGGGACTAATCCAAGATGATGTTATCTATCTATGTGTCAATCCATGGCTGCAGTTATCAAGAGAGGGCTGAATGAGCACAACACACACACACACACAGCACGGAAATTAGATTGTAAATCAGGATGGACCTGATTCAATATGATCTTCTGTAAAGTTTTCAAAGGAAACCTCGTGAAAGAATTTGTCTCGTTAAAATGTGCTTATTATTCCAATTGCAGCATCTACAGCCTTTTCAACTAATTGGTACATGGAGAACAACCTCGAGTTGAAACGGACACAGCAGCAGCAGCTGTGGCAGAGATTTTGTAGATTTCAATGTAGCAGAGGAGCTCATAATCTTTTTGTTTATGTCCATGGCGTCACGATGATACCTCTGACTGTGTGTGTGTGTGTGTGTGTGTGTGTGTGTGTTCATACCGGTGTGGATCTGTCGGTGAGCCTCCAGGGATTCCTCTGTCTGGAACTGGGCGCCACACTGGTCACAAACGATGGCCTTCTCACCAGCTGCAAAACAAGAGGAGACAGTGGATGATGAAGATGATTCATTAAATCTTTATAATCTTTATAATTTTTATTCAAAGGCAGGAATTTACTTTTTTTTATTCCAAAACACTTTGGTTCTATTTATGCAAGTAGAAGTATGCAGGCTTTCAGCGATGACCTGGAACAACATATACTATCTGCCATATATATTCACGTGTACTTTATGAATGTGTACAACCTTGTACAACAATAAAAGGGAGGAAGGATCTGGGCATGTGTACCCACAGGGTGCCGTTGGAGGGCACATCAGATCAGGCTCACACAAATGACTTTTTATGGCTTGGCAACAGGCACTGTACATGCCATACGCATCACACATCAAAAAGACCCACGCACACACACACACACACAAACACACAAACTAACATCTGGATATTGTGTGTGTGCAAAATGGGTGTGTGTTGTGTGTCTGTTTCCAGTGCAAGCACAGAGCGATCTCTCCCAACCAGACCTTGGTTTGTTCTTGGCACAGCCTCCTGGGTTACGACACCTCCAGAGAGAAACAGAACACAATGAAAACAGGAAGCCAATTCTTAGATGACAGAAAAAAAAAAAAAAAACTCAGGGAGCGATGGCTTGTGTGGTTTTGCAAACGCACAGACATTAGGGAACGGCCTGTACTGTAATAAGCCCAAGCAAAAGCAGAAATGACATGGAGCGTACATGACAGAGTGTGCCTGCCAGTGCAGCGCTTATGCAACAAGTTATGCAAAAAGACGGTGCGCTGCACAAGTGAGCGTGACAAGATCATAAGCCCCTGTAACGCAACCTTTAAAGCCAGAACATCTGAGATTCATCCGCGATATCGCAAGATTTATTTACCAGTTAACAACTTTAGACTAAACACACCGAGCTGGTGAGCAGTGTCCTTTTTAATTGGCTGCATATTCACGAGGCATAATTTGCCGAGCGAGCGTATGGCGCTCCAGTGTCAAATGCACAGATGAGCATATGGCCGAATTAGCTGGCAAGAGCAGCCACTTAACCTCCGGAGAACAAGACATGTAGCGGAGATGTAGACAGAATCCCCCAACACACCAACCGATGTCCCTCATTTGCATTAATCACATCGCCCCTCTGTTGTTTCTTCAACTCCCACATTCATCATCGCCGGCTCAACTATAATTATTATTTTTACGTACTACAGTTACCCTGCTAACCTGGGTTTGACTCCCTCCATCTATTGATCTGAGCTCATTGATCGTCCTTGGCAATGAACAACTGTTTTATTACCATACAAGTGCAGCCGTGACTCCATCACATGCTTCTCGTAGACTATCATAGGATAACACAATGTTTTTTTACGTCCGACAAACTATTCTCAAGAGGGCCAAGCTGTGGTTTTAGCTGATCCACCGCATGCACATATGGATGTGGTTTCCCAAAATATAAGCTGCAACTACGGAGAATATCCACACAACAGTGCAGCAGGAGATTTCTGGGTCAGACGGGGTCACAACATGACAGAAATCTCTGGAGTGATCAGGTGACGGCAGAGGAAGGACACAACGTATAAATAGTTTTTGTGTACGGCTCATTCACACCGACATTAGCGCGTGTCTTCAAAGTCATCTTCTACGTGTATGTTGCTTCCTTTTCATCCTTTTTCAGTTCTGTCACGTGTCAGAAACGTCATCTCACTCACATTTGTGAGTTTTTACTTGCAGGAGAAACTCCGGAGAATGTTTGCGGTAACTGACTCGGACATTTGCGTTCTCACATGCAGCCCCAGTGCATTTCTGAAAGCAGCTATATTGTAGATTCTAAATTCATTTCTGTAATGCATTTACATCAATTGTCAGTGACTTGGAAATTAAAGTAATCCACCGCAGGTTTCAGGTTACAATTTGTCTTCCCTCACTGCTACCACTGAGGTGCCCCTGAGCAGGGCACTTAACCCCCAACTTCCCCAGATGGCCCCCTCAGCAGCCGATAGATCAAACTGTGATTGTTACGGTGCAGCTTCCAGGTGTGAACGTGGGTAAATGTGTTCCTGGAAAAGAGGAATTCATGCTAAGAAAATCTAATCTGGTTAAAAAACATTATTGAACACCAGCGGTTGCCTGGAAGGGAAGAAATCACATTCACGTCCAGGCCTGGCAGAACTGTAAAACCGAGGTGATTTGTAGTAAATAGGCTTAACACTGGCAAGTAATGACTCCGCCTCACAGACAGTGGTGCAACACTTAAACAGTCTTCTGGGAGGCCAAGAGGCGTGTGCTAAATGGACCAGGGATAGGATTTTAGTGCAGGGCATGCCCCCGCTTGTGGCACGAGGACATAAATTGTCAGGAAATGCCTGCATGATGCCTTGCTTCAAGGAGAATGAAGTTGTGCGGGGTCACTGTGGGGCACGGAGGAGGGGGGGGGGAGGAAAAGTGGGAGCACAGGAATCCAGGGGACACACGGCCAGGCAGCCACCCAGCCAGATGCCCGTCACTCTGGTTAGCCAGCTAAGTGCTAACAGGGGGCCCTCCGCTTGGTAACAGCCGCCATCAGACATTTTCACTGCCAAATTAAAGCGATAAATCTCGGGGCCCCTTTGATTGTACGAGGGTGGACTTGTTAGTTAGAAAAGACGGGGCAACCGGGAGAGAGGAGACACACACTTAACATCAGCTGATACGCTTGTCACATCTGTACTAAATAATAGTTTGCCTTGCACAAGCTACTCCCTTAGCTTTGGCCCTGCACACACACACACACACACACACACACACACACACCCAGCTATTAATTTAACTTGGAATTGAACCTGGAAGATTTTAATTTAGACGCTAGAGGCTTATAAATCATGATGCAAAACAAAAACACCCAGGAGCCAAAAGGGAATCTCCAAATTGTAGACTTGCCCCCGTTAGCTTGTGAGGAGTCCTGTGTCACATTGCCACATGTTCGTCCGTTAGCTTAGCATGCATGCATGTGTGTGTGTGTGTGTGTGTGTGTTGGACCAGGTGCCACATGCCGCTGAAGTCGCTTCCCTTTTCGCTTCCCTCTCCGAGATATTGCACAACTGTTGTTGCAGTACACTGTGGCTCGGTTATTTCATAAAGGGCCATAAAAGAGAACAAGCCAACGAGGACTCGCTGCCAATCAAGTAAACTTCCTGCAGAGCCCGGCAGCAAAAGAGCAATATAACGGTCCCGTTCTGTAAACTTCATCTGCCTTTACAGGCCCTGCGTGGCCCTGATAAAGAAAGCTTCCCCTCGTACGGTGTCACATGGTTAACTTTTCAACAGCGCTAACCTCCCTGTGTGCTCTGCTGATCTTTAAAGATAGATTAGCTGCTGTTGTTGTTCATCTATACTGCAAACTGCGGCTGGAGGAGTGAACTGTAAGTGTAGTGTGTTGGTAGACGGCTCACATCCGGTTCTTTGGTTTCCTGAAAAAGTTGAATTGTTTAAAATCTCTGTGTGAAAACCAAAGTTGGTTTGTTTAATATCTGAGATATGAAACAAACGTCTACATGTTTTTTTAAAAATTAGTTTCAATAGTTAACGAATGAAAATGTTTTTTATTCCTAGATTTATTTATTTTTCTTCGATTTTAGGTTTTTCGACACACAAGTACGACAGCAACCATCACTTCCATACATGCTCAATATAACACAGCTGTTTAAAGAGAGACATTATGTCGTTGAATGCACTGGATCACTGCTTGGTATCAGTATCGAAAAGGGAAAATGTCACCAGGACATAATTATTTCTCCGTCAGTAAAACTTGTGATTACTGTTGGCTCTTGTTGGCTCTGTTCTCGAACCACTTCCTTGCCATTCAAGAGTGTTCCACTTAAACTTAACTGCCGAGTGCTTTCCCCAACAGTGGCAACATTTCACCATGCAGACGTTTGGAGGATTGTGGATTAGCCCAGCGAGCATGGGCCTCACAGGGAAGTGATGGTGCGTTTCCCCTCGTCTGTAATTTCCCCTGACATAGTAAGTGCTCATTCTCACATTTCCCTAAATAATGTGGCGTGCGATGGCGTATTGTCCTATTTGCTGTAACACTCGTTCCATGACTGTGTGGAAACTGAGTCACAAATGCAAAACCACCATCACGTTATGATCCAGAGGCGAAGACGAGGGGAGAACGGAGTGCCCATTTGGGGGTTTCGTGGGTGTGACGAGTGTGTTTGGCTGCAGCGACACACACATCATCAGCACACTCTCATCATCCCCGTTGGGCGATGTGATCTCATAATGCCGCCATTCAGATTGTCATCACATTGAAAAGAATATGTCAGAGGCAGAGAAAGGCCTTGTTTGTTAGGGAGTGATAGTCCTGCTTTTCTTCGCCGCTGCCGTGGAAGACAAAACTATTTTTTCTTTTTTGCGACTGCGTGCCCACACTCAGTTTTGACACTTGTTGTTTCAACCTACTTTCCTGCACAGGTAGAGTATATATGCTTAGTTTGCAACAGATGCCCCCCCGCCCCTCGGGGATGGCAGTCTAAACAGAATCTTTCATCAAAGACAATCGCAGAATTAAACATAAGAGTTAGAGAGCCTGTCTCTGCTCACAGCGACACTCGAGAAGTAGGCCAACGTGTTGAACGCTAAACATTTCATCCTGCACAGACGCTGGAAAAAAAACAAAAAACCCTGCGTTTCTTCTTTTGTGCTTCATTTCATAATCTGATGAAGGCGCTGATGGTTCCGTCGCAGCACATCGCAGCACATCGCAGCACTCTGCACGACCTTGTTTTGCCAGTTGAACATGTTGTTAAGTGAAAATGGGAAAATACAGAAATAAGCGAAGGCACTCTTTCTCAGGGAAACAGTTAAGTCATGTAAGAAACCTCTTTCCTGCAAATAGTTGTCAAATGGCCTCACATGCGTGCTTGCATGAGACGGCATGACACTCTTTAGCGTCCATTAAACAGAGAAAACGCTCCGTCTGAGAGCTTCCACATTGAGGAGAGGTTTAACAATAGAGGCCGACTGTTCGGAGAGAATAAGCAT